GAATTGGTAAGTTCAGCGAGCTTGCGTCATTCTCATTAATTTCGTTGAGTTCTACTTTGCCCTTACTCACTTCTGGCGCTGATAGATCTGATGGTCCAATCTGTCGTTCATACATTCCTGACATTGATAAATCCAACGGTTCTTTTTGTGGTTCCTCAAATTATACGAAACTATCAAGTTCGAACTGTGTTAAAATTTTAAAACTTTAGAAATATTGCAGCGTTATCTTCTATTCTCTAACTTTAAATAAACTTACGATAGTTTGAGTGTCACTCAATTGGAAAAGGACGAAAATGATACAGATGAACTCAACGAAATTAATCAGAATGGCGCAAGCTCGCTGAACTTACCAATTCGAGAAATAAGTAGGGAACAAACAAGTATAGAAAATATCCCGAAGAAAATCTGGCTTAAGAGGTATGAAAATGAAACGTCCAACGAGAGATATCAAAATGAAACGTCCAACATCCAAACAATCGAAAGGAAACAGTCCAAAGGAAACATCCAGAGCGTTCGACTCACATTGGTAAGAAGCGGTTCAAATGCGAAACATGTCTGATGGGCTTCGTTTATCCATCGCATTTGCTTAAACATATGAGATCTCATACCGGTGAGAAGCCGTACAGTTGTTCAAAATGTGGGATGAATTTCACCCAGAAAGGGAATTTGCATAAACATATGAGGGTTCATACCGATGAGAAGCCATTTTCTTGTCCGGAATGCACGAGGAATTTTACCGAGAAAGGGAATTTGCTTGAACATATGAGCATTCATGCCGATGAGAAACCGCACAGTTGTTCGAAATGTGGGATGTATTTCACCATTTTATCGAATCGGCTTGAGCATTGGAGTATTCACATTAATGAAGAACCGCACGCTTGTTCTGTGTGCAATAAAACATTTTCGGTATTAAATAATATGAAACTTCACATGAAGATTCATGACAATGATAGGCGCTGATTCAACAGGTAACTAGCATCCCATGAATGAAATAACATATAACAAAGTGGGAGTAAATTTTTAGCAAAAAAAAAGGCTTTTCTTAATCACATCTCGAGGTCTCCCATTATAGGTTACCTATCCATTTCGTTTGTCAATTTACATGTAACGTTCCGTTGAAAACAATAGGCATATTGGTCATGCCATCTTCAAGTAACATTTCATATAGTTGATAATCCATCCCAATTACTGTTTCACACCAGTGAGTTATCGAATAGTTGATTTGAATTCAATTACTAGAGATTATTCACTTAATTACTAGAAATTATTCACTTTTCTTGATGTATTAAAAGCAGAAAGTTAGGATTTAATGTTATTTCCCGGTATTTCTCCATTACTATTCTATGTGGTGGTATTTAGATCAAATAATAGTGATAAATCGAAGTTCTCGATGCTTTTTTGGTAGGGGTCATTGCGACCGAAAGTTCAAGCAGCTTCTGATCTATGCAATTTGCGATACTTTTCATACTTTTTTTTTCTTATATTCAAATTCTCTATCTCTAACTGCTGCAAGGATTGTTAAAAAAATTTTCGTTTTATTTATCTTTAGTCTTCCAATTTATGTTTAACTATCATACGATATAGGCATAGGTATTCCATGATGATTGAATTGCAAATTTATTTTTCAAAAATCATACTGACAATATTATTACGATACCAATTGCATACGATGTTGGCAAATTTTCTGGAAACTTAACGGCTAATAACAGCTAAGATAATGTATAATTATTTTGACAGAAAAAAAAATGTACAATAATTATTTGTGGATTTAACATTGAAATATAAATTTGGAAATGAATTTTTTTCTTGATAAATAAAAACTGTATTTATTAAAAAATGAAAAAATAATTAAATTATCAGCAATGTTCAATAAATCAAACCACGAAAACAAATTGTTAACAATGCAAGCTAACACATTTTGACGGTTTTAACTCACTAAGAAAAAGTGCAAAATAAGATTTGAA